CGTCCGGCTCCGTGAAAGAGCGGTGTGTGTGTGTGTGTGTGTGTGTGTGTGTGTGTGCGTGTGCGTGTGCGTGCTGTCGGCAGCGGGCCAACACTTCACAAGGTCTAGCCGACACAAACACCAGGATTCAGGAGCAACTTGACCCCTCCTCTCAGCCTCCTCCCGCCTGCATTAGCACTCAGGAATGCTGGCTAGCCTTTTTTTTCCCCCTTTTCACAGGAAATGAAGCACTCCTCTGTTCATACACGCACACACACGCACGCACACCCACACGCACGGTGATCCCTGTCCCGGGACACAAACTCTCCGCCGGGCGTTTGAAGTACGTGAGGTTAAGATAACTGGCGCGGCCTCGCGTCTCAATCGCCGCTTTCAACCTCCCGCGCGCCCAATCAAAAAGGGCCGCGGTTGGGAAAGGCCCGCCTCTTAGCATCCATTCCGCCAGTTGCCCCCCCCCCCCTTTTTTTTTTTTTTTTTACTGGGCTGTTTCTTCTGGTGCCATTAAGAAGGAAAACACAGCGGACAAATTGGTCTTTTAAAAGAGGCTGGGAGAGAGGCCACAAGCAACATGGGGGAGGGAAAATTCACTCGATGGACCAAAGTATTGGGTCCATCATTGAGTAATTGAACAATTCGGAAAGCAAACAAACGTACGTTTCTGCTTTCGCACCAAGTGATTTCTTCGCTTGTGTCTTTCAGACAGAATTTGCCAAAGCAGGACATTGTCGCATCCAAAATGCATGTTTACGCAGCCGCTGCGGGTTGCACGTTCAGATGATTTGATCGACGATGACATCAGGGGTTCTGAACCTTCACGCATTTGTTTTTTGGGGTTTTTTTTTTTTTTTTTTTGGTCGATCAAAAAGTTGCCGTCCCCCTTTTTGTATTTTGGAGAGCAAAACAAAAAGCACAATTTGGAACGAAGAATGAAGACTTGATGGGCCCATAGGAGCTTGAGAGCAGGCGGTCCGGTGACCTTGGCGCACATTTGCCGGACGGCTTTTTCAAAAGTGGCAGTAAAGTTGCGCCAGGGAAAATAAAAATGAGCGGGCCCATTAAAGGAGGCACCTGGAGGAGAAGGAAGGGGAGGTTTTGCATGCTCAGCACTGCCCCCCCCCACCTCCAACACCCCTTCCTTGCTTGACTCACTTTTATTTTTATTCATTTTTAAAAACGTGCCGTCGCAAGGCCGTCCAGGAAGCGCTCGAACCTGAAAAATGGTGCCCACAAACCGCAGGCATGTGTGGGTGTGACTAATGGGAGGCGCTGGCCACATCAGACGCGGCAAGCACGGGGGGTCCGCAAAGATCGAGTCTGCCCCCCCTCCCCTCACCTCCCCCGTCAACGCGGATCAGTCTGAGTGGGTGTTGGGAGGGGGGGAGGTCGTGGCGGCACGTTCAAAGAGTCTGAACAATGACTGGTCCCTTCACTGTGGTCCCACTTGAAAGCGAACATGACGAGGGAGGGAAAGGGAAGGGAGTCCAAACTTTGCAGAATTTTAGGGCTAGCACGCACTTCAGGACAGCCACTCAAAAGCTGCTTTCTTCTGTATTCAGGAGGCTTCATGTCGACCTCAGTCACTACAGTGGACAGCGATTCAAAAGCTGTTTTTTTTTTCCCCTCCTGGACGTGAATGAGTCTTGATATTACATCAGTCACGACAGTGCACTTGAACCATACTCTTGCATATCCTGTCGCACAAAACAACTTTTGAATTGTGTCCACTGAATTCATAAAACCAGAACAAAAAAGCTGAGTAGTAGTCCAGTGTAGTGACTGATGTACATTTTTTTTTTTAAACCACGTGAACTCATTCAAAAGCTTTCGAGGGTGGTTGTCATAAGTGACGCATGAGAGGGTTAACGAGCAGAAAAATTGAATGAAGCATAACAACGTGTCCCCTCCTGCCTCAAGTTACCCCCCCTCCGCCCCCCCCTTCCTCAGCAGATAAGCGTTTGGCAAGGCCCCGCGACTCGGACTCAGGAAGCGCCGGAGACATGACAAAGGCCCTCATGGCGTTTAAGCGCGGCGCTTGACAATGGGCCCGTGACTCCGGGTGAACGCACGCAGGGGAGCAGTCTAAACAACAGGCCACGTGTCAACAAACACAGTTGAGGCTTTACAACAAGCTCCTTTTCATGCTCGCTTCCTCTCAAAGGAAGGAGAAATATCAGATATGGCGGGAGGCGGCCGCATATGTATCCCACATGGGGATCTAATCATTGTTTATGCTTATTGTACAGGGATATGCGCTCGGGCCTTTGTCACATTTCCAATCGTCACCTTTGACAGAGTTGTGTTTTCATTCCAATATTAGTGCTGACAAGCGATTCAAATTTTGGAACGAATATGATCATCGCTCGATAATAATAGAGCATGAAGGAATTGTATGACGTTTGAAAAAGTACGGCCGATTGGTGACCAGCGTGGCCAAAAATGACATCCGTCCAAAAAAAAGCTAAATACGATGTTTAAAAAAAAAAAAAGATACAACTGTACAGTAATTTTTGATGCGAGCAATAACACAACAACAAACACATTTTACGGCCGATTGTTGTCCAGTATAGTCAACTGAACGCGAACCGAACTTGCCTATGTCAAAGCAACATGAATTAAAAAAATAAAATAAAATCATTTCAAAACAACACATCAAGCTAATGTTCTGATTTTCCCAAAAATATGTCCGATTCACAGTGAAAATGATCAAATAGGCCCCCAAAGAATGGATTGTGTCACTTCTGGCGAGTACGAACAGAAAAAAATGAAAACTTTGTCTTTCTTGTAGACATTTTAGATTTCGTCAGATTGTTGCCCAATGTGGCCACATACTGCCCAAAACGACCAAAAACATACGATCATATAAAATATAATTTTTATGATGTTATGACAAAAAAAATAATATTGTAGATTGTTAGATTGTGTTCTTTCCAGGTTGAATCACAACACATTGTAAGATTGAAAGTAAGCAAAAAAAAAAAAAACAAAACAACAACCTTGGATGCTAGCGGAGGCTGCAGGGAAACTCAACAAACATTTTTTTTTTGGTGGCATCTAAACGCAGCTAACCGCAATCCGGCTCTGTGGGATCTGCATAAATTGAGGGCTCGGGGAATTGCGGCAGGATCCTCGGCATTATGCATATTGTGTCAAGGGCTGTCACCGAGAATCAAGGGAGATGTCCATCCCGCCGCGGCTAGGCGCTGCTAATTATTGGATCCAAGATAAAAATGGCTTCTTAGCGCTTTGAAAGCCAACTGTGGCCAAAGAAGAAAAAAGGAGGAAGGGGGGCGGGGGGTGAATAGAGAAAAGCAGCCCAATTTGGGGAGCTACTGGGTCATAAATCGATGGACGGGGTGGGAAACCTTTGTGCCATTTTTTTGACGCGCGAGAGTAGATTGGTCACAACTGACCGGCTTTTGCGGGGGTGGAATAACAGGATGCTGGCAGGGGGAGGTAACTATCCATCCACGTTAAGGCCATCGGGAGCCCTTCCCAAGTCAGCTGACTCTGGGCAAGAGGGGGGGGGGGTTCCAAAAACGTTTTTTTTTTGGATTGTCCAAGTTATTTGAGACATGGCCTCAATCGATGCATCTCACCCGCTTTGTATAACGGACACCGTGAAATCTTATTAAGGCAAAGCACCTCATTAAAAAAAAAAAAAAAAAAGCTCCTGGATGCTAACTTGACAGAAGAGATGCGACACATGTAGACCATATGGAGCAGAGATGATGTTCACTTTTTGGCGGCGGGAAGTGGGGGCGGGGCGTTGGGGTGGGTGAATGCTCTTGATTTATCCTTTTAATCAAAATAGATGAACACATTTTTTTTTTTTTTAATTCAATTCATCCACTGTTTGTGCTCCAAGAAACACACGCGCACATTTTCATGGACGCAATGACTATGATGTGGACCTTTTTTAGGATTAGTCTGTTTAGCTTTTTTTTTTTTTTTTTTTTTTTGCTCAAAGAGACTTCTTGTGTAAGAGGTGGGAAAGGGGAGGTGTGTCTTACCATTTTCTCAGATGTACGCCGTTTTCATTCTCTGGCCCGTACCTGCAGAAAACGGCAGCTTTTAAAATGGGGGGGAGGGGGGGGGGTTCGAGGCAGCGTGAGCTCATCGCTGCTCGTTGGGTTGTAAACACAGCGAGACGATAACAGCGCAAGTCGAACGCACAGTTTGAATATTCAAGCTAAAGTTGACGGGGAAAGAAAAGATTTTTCTTTTGGCTTTTGGGCGGGATGCAAGCACAGGATGATCATGACGATCGCTCAAGAAACAATAAAAGATCAAGGGGGGGCAAAGTTCGCGACGCCGAGTGTCATAGTGACGAAACTCGTCCGTATTGGCGGTTGAACAGGCACCGACTTCCTGTGAGACTTTAGCGTCGTGAGTACCTCAAGTATTAACTCAACAAGTGTGCTTTGTTTTTGTTTTTTGTTTTTTCTTTCTTGTGCTTTTGTTGTGATGCCAACCCAGACGCAAATGATTTTGGACAAGTGTGACCGTAGCGGTTCAGGATGGGAAGCAGGAAATCAAGTGGACTTCACCGCAAAAAATGTTTTGAGAAGCAAAAACTTTTGTGTTTTATTCCAGTCCAGTCCGTTTGTATTGAACTTTTTCAAACATTTATTTAGGTACACATTTTAACTTTTTTGGATTGACTCATAATTGAACCCTTTGAGGGACAGCAGTCACTACAGTGGACAGCTTGTCATGTTATCAGGATGCATGAAAGGCCGAAGTACAGTTTTTTTTTCTTCCCGTATCCAAGCACTGAGCCACTGTATTTCGACATACGAAAGCGGTATATGCATCCCTTCGACTTTGGAGGTTGCGTTTTGTTTCTTTGGACTTGCGATGACCTCATCAACTTGTTTACGCAAGAGCGTCTCTTAAGACGCGTCGAAAACGAGGTCAGCAGGAAGTAACGCTGAGCAGGCAGACAGACAAAAATGTGCAAAGCGCCGAGTCGCGAGAGAGAAACGACCAGACTAATCCCAAAGGAGGTGTGACGTGGACAAGATGGCAGCGGCGTAGGAGGGCGAGCGACGGGTAAGCGGGCGCGCGAACTCACCCGCAGCTGATTCCTGGATCTTCTCCCGCTTCCGCTTCTTCTTCTTCCCCTAAAAATATACAGAGGAACGCATAAAGTGTGGCTCCAGCACTCACGTTCACTAGACCACTCTGATTGGCTGCTGCTGCTGACTGTCATGTTCACTCATCCCCTGCCGGACATCCCACCGGCATGCCCCGTGTACACTCTGAAAGCCCGCTGCCGCCAAACAACACCACAGCCAAGCTAACACGGAACTCCATTTACAAATATCTTTCTTTTTGAACCAGTCGGATTTTTGATTCACCACTGTGCGCCTTCTCCAGCTCTCACCGTGACGTTGGCATTTTCTCGATTGGTTAGGCTATGTTTTCACCCTTTGATTGGCTGAGCTTAAAAAGTCAAGTCACAAAATGTCGATGCACCTCCGCTGGTCTAAACACGATATTCTGATTAATGTTGAGTTTGTGGAATATGAATTAGGCAGGAACATGCGCTCATTTGTATCCATCTCAGGCGGCGGCCATTTTGCCACTTGCTGTCAACGGTAGATGACATCACAGTGCCCCAGTTTGCGATTGTCACATGACCAAACACAGAGAGCAGGTAAGCCGTGATTGGTCGTTACCTAAGATTGATCTACAAGAGAGGATGATATCAAACGTGATTAAAATGTGATTTTCAAGGCGTACTTTGCAAGAAAAACTGGACGTTATGAGTCTAGATCAACCAACATGGTTGATAGGTGGCTCGATTTGACCTGGCAAGCGGCGGCGTATCTGAAGCTCACGCGCACCTAAATTGTCTCAACAGTGCGCCCTGCGGTTGTCTCGCTGACCAATCCGCTCAATGACAACTCCCCGTTTTCTTCCCAAAGTGGTGCTGAGGATTTATTACCACCCCAGGGAGATGACGTAGGGGGTAGAATATAAGTATACATTCTCATGGTTCGAAAATATGAGCAGTATTTTTGGCCCCACCGCCACCCTCCACCCCCCCTCGCTAATCCATTTATTCACAAACTAATCTGGCATCATAGAGGAGACTCACACACACGGTCGGAGGTGCTCGAGGAATACTTGAAACTGACAGAGCACACCATTCATCACAACCCTTTTATTTTTATTTACCGTATATAGATGGAGAGATAGCTAGCTAGAGATAGCTAGCTAGCTAGAGATAGCTAGCTAGCTAGCTAGATATAGTGAGCGATTTTACTTTTAGTTTCAGTGTACTGTGGCTGGATTCTTTTTCGCTCAATACCAATATCGCGTACATCAGTGAGGAAATGTCATTCAGTAAGTCATTTGGCGGCGCAGCAACAGAGGCAGGAAAGGAGGGAGGGTGCCGTCGATGTCCGAGGGGAGGCAGATAAACACCACAAAGCACTTTTTGTTTCAAATTCCAATTTGTTTTGGTTACTTTTTTGGGCCGGTGGTGGAGTGAACGTGAGTGCCGGAGCCACACTTTTCATAAAGGCTGGTGCTCTCTCTCTCTCTCTCTCTCTCTCTCTCTCTCTCTCTCTCTCTCTCTCTCTCTCTCACCCACACACAGGCTCGTAGGAGTAAGACTTCAATCCAACTTTATTTTCTTGGATATGTACAGCTTTTTCTTATACACACATACACATTTTTTCCTCAAAACTATAAAAAATATCTCTCGAAAATACACTTACATGACTTTTTTCGTAGTATTATGAATTTAAAACGTAAAACCTTTTTTTCTTGAAAAATAAGATTATTCTCTTGATATGACATCACTCGAAAAACTATGCACATTTTAGAAAAGTAAAAATTAATTCTAATAAAATCTATCGAAAAAAAAATCACATTTTTATCTTTAAAAATTTCTTTATCTTAGAACTATTACGATGTCATTTCAATCTCAGGAATATAATTTCTTTTGTCAAAATAAACATCTTTCCTGAAAATGTGTGACTTTTATCTGAATAATATCCAACCTTTTCTGAAAAAAGTTTTTTTTTCTCAAAGATATACAACTTTGCTAACGTCATATTATCACTTCACAATTGAAAATATAAAAACGTTTCTCCTCGAAAATATGCAAATGATCTAAACGCTCACTTTTTTCACCTCAAAACCTTTCAGTACATAACGCTTGTAATATTCTGACTTAAATATCTAAAATATTTGTCATCGTGTATCTTATATCGTGTATCATATATGATTGTACTGCCATACGCAGGCTAATTGCACTGGCAGTGGCAAGAAAAAGTGACCCAACAATCTATCCAATGCTATGAAGTACACATTAGGCTGAAACAAAGAGCCTGTCCAAATGGAGTCCAGTAAGCATGCAGGGCTCTATTGAAGGACCCCTGTTTTTTTGTTTAGTTTTTTTTTTAACTTATCCCCAGCCACACACGCACACGCACACGCACACGCACACGCACACACTCCGAGTCAAGCGCGCGCACACACATACACGCACCTCTGCAGAGCTGTACTGTTGGTACTTACATAGTTGTCTCGGGCAGACCAGCCTGGGTAGAGCTGCATGTGGAGCTGCCGTTCCTTGCGGGCTAACTCGTAATACTTAGCCTGCTCTTCCCGAGATAACGCATGCCACTGTTTTTCGCACAAGAGAAGAAAATATTGTCAGTTATTCCACCTTTTGGTGCTTTTGAAAAAAAAAATTCAGTGGAAAAGAAGACAAAACATTTGGTGGTAGAAAAAGCGGTTACAAAGTGAAGCACATGAGAGCAATAAGGAATATTAGGGCCACCCGAAAATGAAAAACAGACTATGAGACTAAAGGCGTCATTCTTGGGGGATAAAAGTCATCTAGTTTTGAAATTGAGTGAGTGAGCGCCCCCTACCCGCCGTCCCAGGATCTGATTGATGGCGGCGCTCTCCTTCAGCGTGCACTCGGCCACCACGTTGGCGCGCATCTCTTTCATGTAGAGCATGAAGGCGTTGAGCGGCTTCTTGATGTGCGGTCTTTTGGGCTCCTGCTCCTTTCGCTGCTCGTGCTGCGGCTTCCTGGAACCAAAAAAAAATACATAAAGAGGCTTACAATATCATTGGCGAAAGACAGGGAGATGGTGCCAAAAGTGTGAGAAAATGACATCCGGTTGCGGCCGCCGTACAGTGTGTCTGGGCTGTGACAGGATCTCCAACCACATGTGCACGTATTTGAATCATGTTGCGTGTATCTCTTATTCATATGGCTATCGCAAGAGTTCCCCCCCCCCCCCACAATCCCGTACTGTGCCCGTCCATGCCTTATGGGGGGGCAAAGTATGGGAATTGTTCCCCTAGCCCCCACCCTCACCCTTCCTTTATGTTTCCCTTTTTCGTCTGTTCCATCCCATTCCCTTGCTGGGTGAAGATCCAGAGCCACTTTCAAGTAACTGGTGTTCCTTTTTTTTTCCCTTGCAAACTCTCGGCTGGGTTCCAGCAACTAGAAGGCACCCCAGTCGCAAGACTCAGTTTGTGTCCCTGGTCGTCATGGTAACATAATACAAACACGCCACTGATGCGGTAGTATATCAAGCAGCGTGTTTGTTTTAATCTTTTTCATTTATACGTAAAGAAGTGCTTAGACAAGCCGAAATTGCAACAACAGTGGTACCTTGACATACAAGTGTACCAAATTACACAGTGCCCAAGCTTACTGAAAAAAATGAATAAATTATTGAATTAATTAAAATATGGAGTGAATTTTGTTTTTAATCAAACTACATGACTTTGACTTGCACGTTGCAATTTAAGCTCATGTAGCAGAATTTCACTACGCGAAATACGGAAGTTAAAACACTTTGGATTTTTTTTTTAAACACTCACCATATTCTTTATCCTCTACCAAAAATGACCAATACTAGTGAAGCTTCCTGAGCCTTCAGGCGAGACAGTCTTCTTCATTTATTTTTGCATGTAAATGTTTTTAATGCCCTCTGGTGGCCAAGGTGCACACACATCAGAAACCAAGGTACCACTGTAATCTCATTTCTCACCATCACATGGAGTCTCTCTCTCTCTGTCTCTCTCTCTCTCTCTCTCCCTCTTTCAGCTGCTGCACTGGGGTGAAACTTTCTAATAAAATGCCAAGATGACCGTGGTTAATGCAGCTATCAGCTATCACCACTTCAGGGTACGATCAGGCGTGTTGCGGTATCATCTGGGACCAGGATCTGGTGCTGGCTGAGTGCAACCCCACCATCCCTGAGGCTAAACGAGCCCCTTGAAAAAGCCCTAGCCGAGAGATAAGATGCTCACTTCAAGGGTCGGCTAGCTTGTTACCGGAATGGCGGAAGACCTGAAGTGGGTGGGTGGCGCTACTCACATGTGCATGATGTCGGTTTCGTGCAGGGGCTCGTGTTTGACCTGGGGGTTGACGATGGCCGGGTGGGGGATCCCTGTGGCGTGAGGGCCCGGCGGTCCCGGGACCATGTGGTGGGAGAACCTGCAACGTCAAGATTGTTTTGTCGAATATTGAGCAACTGGTTTCAAATCGAGAGTGTGGGATCAAAACAGTTTAGATCGACCAATTGACCGATCGATCGCGTCCAAGTCTTAGGGAAGGACTCACCATCCCAGCGGCGGCGTGAGCTGTCCCACTCCTCCGGGAGACAGCGAGTAGAAGTTGGCGATTTCTGGTCCCGCATGATGCCTGGACATTCCTACACCAGAAACAAAAGACACAAATGTCTGTGATCGTCTTGTGGTTATTGACATAAATCAGATGTGTGTGCCCCGTTGTTCAGTTTGGAATCATTTCAAATGTTGGGCTTTCATCAAAATGATGAGTCTGTCCTCGAGCTGCCATTGACCAATAGAGAGCAAATTGATGAATTGGATAATCATTCATTTTGCATTATTAAACAGCGAAATGTGCACGTGGTGGGCAGGTATTGTCGTCATCCACTTGGGGTCGCCGTCCTCAAATTCCACCCTATAATCTCAGTGATTGTGAGTGTGTTTGGCTTTAAAAAGGTGAGGCTCGGCTTGGTGAGTGACGTGGGGGGCAGCGAATTAGCTTATAGGATTAGCTTTTGGTTATTTTTTCTTATTTTTGCCCCTTTAAGCTCACAGGAATAAAAGAACATTTGATTGTTTTGCGAAACTTTGTCTCGTACTTTTTACGTTAAAAAAAAAAAAAAAAAAATAGAAAATTTTCATGTATGAGGAGCGTCGTTCTTGATCTGCTCAACGTGTCGAATGTCTTCAGGTAACTTCTGCTGTGCAATGCTGTGAACCAAAATTGACTTGACCATTTTATTCTTGAAATAAAAATAAAAAATAAATCCCCATCATGCTGATCTGAGCTAAACTGAACTGAGCTCAACTGCTGGGTGGGAACGGCGCTGAAATTGGAAGAAAACGTTTGCTGAAGAAGGTAAAGGCAGGTGAGAAGAAGTGCTCTTTCAAACGGACTCTGCTTTTTCATCGACACACTCATGCGCAAAGCGGGTAAATGCCTGCAGATTAGCAGCACGCTGTAATCCCCCCGGCGGAGCCGCAGCCTTTTCTCCCCGCCTCCATCTCTGTGGTCTGAGGAGTCCTTCCTCCTCGGTGAAGCAGTGCGAGCGGGGGCGGGGTGGGAGGGGGCTTACTTGTAGTTTCCCAAAGCTTGTGTCGCGGCGTTGGATCTATGGCGTGCGTAGCGCTACCCCCTGCCTACTAATCCAGCCCTCCCCACGCCTGCCCCAAGTGTCCTTCGAGAACCTCCCGAAGGCATCAGAGAAGGAGGCGGGAGACGCAGCGTGTTAACCTTGTCACTCACACCCCGAAGGT